GTAGCGGTAGCGGCCGCTACATTTCAAAGTAGCGTTGCCCAGCTCTGGTCTAGCCTTATATAAGCTGACTTGACTTCGGACGTAAATGTCGATGATTAAGTAGGGATACATAGTTTGATTGTTTCTGAAGGTGAACAATATTTTTAAATTAAAACTTTCATTTATTGGAAAATTGAACATCAGCTTAGATTAAAAAAAAACCTCCGATAAAAGTTAATGTGTGCAAAGAGGCGATAAGCAAACGAACTTTATGTTAAAAATAATCCTAATGATGGCCCCCATAAACCTAGAATGAAGAGTTTCTCAGAGCAGCAGGCAGCGCCTTGCTATTAATGACCAAATGTTCAACACTATAAGTATTATAAAAAATGTTCAACACAAATACTATATAAAATGTTCAACACTATAAGTATTCGGGCAGAAACTACCGTGGAAAATTTAACTTATTTGAATTATTTCGTTGCTGCAGGCGGATTTTTTTTAATTGTGTCACCGAGGAGGCGTTAATGATGTGCATTATTTCCTCGTTGAAGATTAATTTAACAGATTTATAACTAATCGTAATAGATAAATTGGAAAACAGTTCAAGCTTTCTAAAAATTTTATACCTGGGAAAAATCCATCAGTTCGATCATTTACTTTCAGAAGCGTTTGATGCCATTAAAAAGAATATTAATATTTAGTGTTTAATATACATATATTCTACTCAGGACGCTCTCGTGATAAACGTGACGCCACTATAAGCATTTTCTCGTTACGCAGCCATCACGTGCGCCGTACTTAAAGCTTCATTTTAATGTTATTAACATTCTCTGAATTAATATTGTTATCTGGCATTAATTAGGACTAATCGCCTTATTACAAACGACGCTCTAAAACAAGACGTTGTGGTAATGTACATTTCAATTGCATGCCTTCGAACTCAGTGAGAAAATTACAAAAATAAGAAATGAAACCCTCGTGTTATTATTACGGGCTCCTATCTATGCGGGCCCCTATGGCTATAGTTTGGTTAGACATCAATAGTGATGTTCGAAAATAAATTATTTCAGCGAAATCGTGGCTACTTGTCAGCGAGAATTCCATGATGTCAGGCTTATCCTGGGGATAACCACGTGATTCTGATGATCATGCTCAGAAAATGAATGGGCCATGTGACATGTAGGGCAATATGGGGCAGCGCGCCCCCTCTTTTTTTAAACTAAAATTTTGATGAAGTTTTAATTGATACGAGGTGGTTCTTCGTTTTGTTTAAAGGTACAACTAATGAGGAATGTATGATGTGAATTAGACGCCTATAGAGTTAGTCAATTTTTAATGAAACACTATTTTGTAAAAAGTGCCAAAATGGGCCCATTGCTCCACCCCTGGGGCAATGGGCCCATGGGCTTGGGGCAAGGCAACCCTTGGTCCCTTTACCACAAAAAAACCTTAGTAAAAGGGCCCTTGGTCCCTTTACCACAATTGCAGATTTTTCGTTTAAAAATGATAAAACAACACTTTACAGTTAAAAATAAGAAAAATGTAATAAAATCGCGTGGGCCCGTTGCCCCACTAGGTATCATTTCAATTTATATCGTGTCAACATTTTATTTTAGAAGCTAATAGTCTAAACTTGATCTCAAAATAATCCCTATAAATATTACTTTCAAAATATAATTCACAGTAATTTCAAAAGCTTCATCTACAGTAATCGAAAACAGTTTTACTTAGCAGCAAAAAAAATTTATCTGGGCTAAAAAAGTTATTCACAAATAACCTAATAACGCAAACTCTTAGCAAAACGTAAATCCGTACACTTCATGCCAGTGAAACTGTCGACCGGCGGTAGAGAACACGGACCAATATCTGCCATACTTAGCGAGAAACCCGCTATGGGCCCATGACCCGCAAGGGGCTCTCTGCCCCATGTTACCCTACAGCCCGAAACGCTGACTGGGTTATCGCTCCACTCATTACCTGGTTCAGGATGGCCAAAAGATGGGCAAAATGCATCACTATTTAGACAAAGTCTCATTCCATGTCCAGCTGAAAGCCTTATTCCATTCATTTCGGATCTCAGTTTTAATGTTCTTGGTGATTGAGGCTGTTAGTGCAGAAGTCAATGACGAAAAGCCGCAATATGAACCCGGAAAATTAACTATTTTCCAATTCCACACGAGTTTTCAATTGGTAATGGTTGAAAATCATTATTATGATTGCATCATTTCACTGCGTGAGAAGCCTTCTAGTGATTATATGATTGCCTTATCAGTGAAGCAAGTTTCATGGTGCGTGCTTGGTTCAACATGGAGGGGGGCTGCGAAGACTACAGTATATAAAAGCCGGCGATCGTCTACAGCATTACTTGCAGGTCTACCACCGTGGTGAGTTTGTCCTTCTCCAGAAATTCTCAAGTCTAGTCCGTCCAATACAACAATAACACCAAGATTATAAGCATATGGTTGTTAGACTGCATTTTAAAAACCGCTGCCAAGAAAGTTTACCATACTTGTTTGGTGCTGTGGTGGCCTTAATCGTTCTGGTACTGCAATTGAACATAACACATTCATTGTAAATCGTTGATGGTGCGCGAAGTCGGCAATGCCTGCTCCTTAATTACTTCTTGCCGATTTCTTTGGGCAAACGTGCTACATAACATTGTAGTGAACATACGAAGTTTTGATAATACGGCCCCTGGAGGTGTGCGATAAGTCAAAGATCTCCGTGGGCAAGCAAGCTACATACGCTCGTACCATTGTTGCGAACTTGAGTGGCGAGATGGTTCGGTGAAGTAAAGCTTCTTAGATATGGCACATTGCAGAATATACTTTGAATGTAAACGGATTTAGTTCTAGTTTTTTTTCAGTAGAAATAATGGAGACGTTTCGATCTTGCGGAATGGTTTCAGTCAAGAAGAATTTTTTAGCTACTGCGCTAAAGGTCTAATTTAGGAGGTCTTTAGCCCTCCTAAAATATTCTGAAGCCCCTGAATAACTTTATCTTCATTTTTTAAAGATATTATTATTCTTTATAAAAAGAAGCCGACAAATTCAATATAATTTGACATGAATACAAGTTTAACCAAATAGCACCACCAGCCATTATTAGCGTAAATACGGTATGACGTGATCGGTATGATGATGCAATTGTTGCTTCACTGCCTACACTCACCAGAACAATGTAGTTAACTGTCCAGGATGAGTTATGAAGAGATGCTATACAATTGACTCGTGTAAGCGCGATAAAACCTTCACAATAACGAAGAGAATGCGTCTTCTGCTGTCTAGCTAGGAGTTAACGCTGCGGTATTAATAACTTTTCTAATTAATCATTCCAGAGACAAGTTCACTTTGCATTGGTTCCAGTTGGTGCAATAATAAGAACAACGAAGCCTTCAATTTTAAACACATTTTGACACTGTAGTGTATGTAGGGATATATCCTAATATTGCTGCTACACACAATGCAAAACAATATTGATGCCCGGCGGCTGGCACTCTCAGCCTTAAATACTTTCTTTGTTGCCAAATTGCGATGCTAGAAATGTGATTCCTTGTAATTTTCGATAACGGTTTTATCCAAATAACTTTACTGCTGGCAAGAGACCGTCTGAGTAACGTTACACTTCATCGTTTTACGTACATTCGAAGTCAAGTCAGCTGAAATACTAGGGCTGAAATTCCCCTTAAAATTTTGTAAACCATTTGTTGTCTAGCCAATTTTCATAATCAAGAATTGTAACGTTACCAGGCTGCTCTCGCTAAAAATTTGTAGCTATAATTATTCTCATGAGCAATAATCATAGATTTAACAAGGTTCATTTGGCTTTCCTCCTAAAATGAAGAGTTTTTCCAGAAACAAGATGGCGTACTCTATGGGGCTGCTGCTGTCGCTGATGAACGCACTTATGCTGACTGCTGTTATGGGTGAGGAATATGAGCTGTTATTGTAACAACACTTACATTAAACATGAGTTATTAACCCGCATATATGCAGTGAAAACATCTTTATTATTTCACCCGATGCCATTTTATTCCGAAGGCTTGCAAGTGACCGATGTCGTCACTTCAACAAAAGCACAGAATATTGACCCTGCAACCGGCATTGATCTTGAAGCCTTGCAAAAATTCACCCAAATGCGAGTAAAGCGATCAGGTGATAACGGTTTTATCCAAATAACTTTACTGCTGGCAAGAGACCGTCTGAGTAACGTTACACTTCATCGTTTTACGTACATTCGAAGTCAAGTCAGCTGAAATACTAGGGCTGAAATTCCCCTTAAAATTTTGTAAACCATTTGTTGTCTAGCCAATTTTCATAATCAAGAATTGTAACGTTACCAGGCTGCTCTCGCTAAAAATTTGCAGCTGTAATTATTCTCATGAGCAATAATCATAGCTTTAACAAGGTTCATCTGGCTTTCCTCCTAAAATTAAGAGTTTTCCCCAGAAACAAGATGGCGTACTCTAGGGGGCTGCTGCTGTCGCTGATGAACGCACTTATGCTGACTGCTGTTATGGGTGAGGAATATGAGCTGTTATTGTAACAACACTTACATTAAACATGAGTTATTAACCCGCGTATATGCAGTGAAAAGATCTTTATTATTTCACCCGACGCCATTTTCTTCCAAAGGCTTGACAGTTACCGATGTCGTCACTTCAACGAAAGCACCGAATATTGACCCTGCAACCGGCATTGATCTTGAAGCATTGCAAAAATTAACCCAAATGCGAGTAAAGCGATCAGGCATGCTTGGTCCCCTCATCATCCAGCCCGCCCCTCACGACCCCCCCGTGCCTGAAGCCACCGCCAACAACATCGTGTGGTCGTCGAGGTTCAGCGTTCCGTGGAATGTAACCGTACTTCCCAACACAGCACACAAGTACGACAAAATTGCCAAGACGTACGTTGAGGTCATGGGGGCAAGTCCCTCCCTCCACATCTTGAACGCCCTCCTCTCTCTTGCTGAGGCCATCAACGCCTCGAAATTCCCTGGGGCGGCCACTCCTGCCCTGTCCAACCAGCTCCGTGAGTCCGCCACTCTGATAATAACTTGTCCTGTAGTTCATCATCCAATGCTAATGACAACATTTATAAAGCACGTTGCTTACTTTAAATTAAAATGGTATAAGTTGCCACGTGACAGCAAAGTAAATGGCGTCTGGGCGGCATTCGATTGTTTCGATGAGACATTTATTTAAATTTTTTATCATTGAAGTATTTTAAATTTTTTTCTGCTAACGAAATCCTCTGTAGTTTAAGTATAATCTCCGTCAAGCTTCTCTTGCATAAGTACCCACGTTTACCATATTTTGATACAAGTCCCAGCTTATTATTGAATTTCCCCCTAACCTCATAGACCTCGCCGCTATCTTCGAGTTCGTTAAGACATTTGACATCAAAGCTTTGAATCCTGGTGGACAAACCGCCCCCCTGATGCGGGGCATAGTGCCCCGGAAAGTCACCGCCGCTGTGGCCCCCCGCCTGCCCCATCTGCCCGCCACTGATGACGTCATCATCGCCCTCACAGAACTTGCACTCATGACGGACGTCTTCAGACCTCCGTACGTGCCCCAGACCTACCAGACGGCCGAGCAGCGCGCTGCTTTCTACAAAGAGGCTGGTGAGTTCGCATCTGATACATATAATTTAACGTATTCTGTATTCCATGGACATTTTCTGAACGTGCATTTTTTCCTGTTTTTGTGGGTGTTCACCGCTCCTACTTTGCATGTGGAGGTCACTTTCTTCCTTCTCTTTGTTCACCTGTCCTAAGATGCATCTCGTTTTTTTGCTTCAGCGCTCTGGTTATTTGAGACCTCGCGCCTCTCATACACGATTACATAATTATAATTCAGGTGAAATGTGATAACAGAGTACTGCTATTCCGTTTTTACGCATAATTACATACCTATCAATGCATGTATACTAAATATAGATAAAACAACTATGCTAATAATAAAACACACATTAATGCACGAGATTTTGGACTTTCAGTATCCAGGATCTCTGTGAGGAGTGGTCTTGTATTATCCGTAACTCCCGTTATGAGTTCATATATTTTTTCCAGTACTAGTTTCCTGTGAACCTCCTGCTACGGTGAAATAATATCCGCAAATCATGAAGAACTCTTAACATTAACGCCTATATGTCAATTTCAGGAGCTGTAGCTCTCTGCGAAGTCTTGCAGAAGTTCCTGAACCAATAAAATGGAATGACCAACTTCACTACCTCTATACGCTGCAATCTTGTATGCATTTTTAGAGTCTGGAGTAGTTTCGTAAGTCCAACTATGGTCTTCTAAGGAACCGCGCACAACGATTTGTCTACGGATACTTCAAGTAACGTCGTAAGTTTTCGTCAGTTTCATTCACGTACAACTGACGTTGCACGTTCCAGTTGTTATTTCGTGGGTTGGATGTCAGTGGTAATTGTACCTATGGCACCTATACTGATCTGGCAATGGCTGCTACTTCTCCATTTCTTATAATGCAATTATCTTTTTGCCGACGAGTGAAAGTATTAATATGTTCTTGCGGGAATTCATGCGTTAAAGCTCCAATGTAATTGAAGATACTTACAATAATGTAATTCTATTCATTGCCTCTTATTATCCAGTTATTGAAGAATTGGAGTTAAGAGGCAATGAGGTGATTACATGTAATGTGTCCCACATAACATGTGATCAGCTGCAGCTTTCTGAAGCAGTACGTGATCTGGGTAGCGGTACTCTAATGATGCGCAGGTTTTTTCTAATGATGTAAAAGGTTACTGTAACGATACACGAGGTCACTCCAATGATAGTTATACATCACTGCACTCACAGTGCAGCAGTCAGGACGTGTGGATGAGTTCAACTTCAAATTATGGTAGAGTAGAGTGCCACGCTAAGGTAGAGTGCCTTATTGCCTTTTAATCCGATATAATGAATCAGTAATTGTTCTCGCATTTAATAAAGCATTGTTTTTATTCAAGATCAAAATAATGTTAATATAACGTAATATTCGTGATTACGCACCACGAAAAATTGTCTATGGGATATTCAGGTTGTTTCAGGAGATGGTTGTCTTAGATATGGGATATGGCAGATACTCGGCCAACACAACTCTGCAATGTTATGGCCGTTTCTGCTTCCAGGTTTGCAATAAAATAAATATGCATATGTCTAGCATTTATTACCGCAACACTTCACATGTGACCGTCAGAACCGCCTACAGGGAAGGTTGACAGCGATACACCTTCAGTACTGATTGTATGTCAAGCGGATTAAGTTACCAGTCAAACTATTCACTGGCTTATACCACGCCTACAATCACACGTTTCTATACATGGAGATACGGACAAACTAATACGTTTTTGTCTATTGATAGGAATGCTATTTGTAACTAAAGGCCTGGTCACTAGAGTTACCGTCATCAAAAGTCAGGAAAGAGTTGAGTGATGATGGCAGATAACAGCCACTCCCCAGAGCAATGGGTGCTTGTACACGAAAGCCAGTAGTGGCGGTCATTAGAACTTACAAATGTTAACGGTCACTAACTATTACGCTACTGGCCTCGTGTAAAGGAATACTGGGACCTTCCATGTTCTGTGGCCAGTAGCGCCTATACACGAGGCCAAGGATGGTGCGGTGCGGTGGATGGTGGCGGTTAGTACTTGAAAAATGTACTGGTCACCACTACTGTCCACGTGTACCAACACCTTGTGTCACGTCACAGAGGACGCATCGTTCCTGCCAGTGATCATAGTTTAATTAATTACGTTGACTGTAAGCATTAATCCAGAAACTATCCTGAGGACTACCGGCGCCATGACTAACTACATCACTTGGGGTCTTACCAGCGCCATGGGGTACAATGCTCGAGGCCTACAGAAGGTCCGGGACTTACCTGAACATCGTCTGTTGTGCTACTAGCGAACTCTATCGTCAGCAGCCAATGAATGATTAACCACAAACATTCCACCTTGTTCGCCTGCCTCAAAGGAAAGTTTCAATTCACTTTTTCAACGTAATTAAGTAGATAATTTATTAATGTGGTAAAGGAAAAATGATTATTACCACACAACACCGGCAAATTCACAACAGATACTGCGTTTGTCATCCTAAATTATTCTATGGCCATTCATTTCACATGCAAAATTCGCAGTGTTTCTCGCATGGTGTTCTGAGAAATTATGTCTGCCATATTGAGAACTATGTTGAACACTTTAACAGTCCGGAAGGATTGTGGGGCTGTGGCTGGTTTCAGCTCACCACATTTTTAAATTTATCGTAAAGAGATGATAGCTTACGTTAGGAGCGTTAGAATATTATACATCTATTAGTTGACTAATATATATATATGTCTATCTATATGCATATTGTTAATATCAAACCGGAGTCTCGTAGCTGCCAAAGATGTAATGAAGTTCAGTACCAACACGCTAGGTCCAACGGCATAATTTCTACACTCGCTATATTCGATTATCATGACGAAGGCCTGACACAATAATGGAGAGATAACATTTCTTTGTTACAAGTCAGTAAGGAATAACTTAGGAAACATCCTCACTAAAATAGAGAGAATTAATGCGATCTACTAAAAAAAAAATTAAACTTGACTGCGTGTGTAATGAAGCTAATTTAAACAAACAGTCCTACGATCAATAAATTAACTTAGGATTAGGTTAATATGTTCGAAAATATGTTCATCTCGGTATATATAATCTACAGCTTAAAGTGTCGAGATCTACTAAATTACATTCATGTCTATCAAATATATATATATTATGATAACAATACGCTTGTCTCGCGTCAAAACTTAGACTAGGTGCTAAAATAAATGGTAATCAGATTTGTTAATTATTAAATCAAGGCAAAATATATAAGTTATTTGGCAGAATATAAATGACTCGTTATGAGATAAAACCTCTCATCGCACTCAAGTGACCTCAGCATCAAGGAATACTTGCTCAGAAGTAATGGGTAACTCAGGTAATGGAGGGACCTCATTTAACGGGTAACTTGCTCAGAAGTAATGGGTAACTCAGGTAATGGAGGGACCTCACTTAACGGGTAACTTGCTCAGAAGTAATGGGTAACTCAGGGAATGGAGGGGCTTCACTTAACGGGTAACTTGGTTAGAAGTAACGGGTAACTCAGGTAATGGAGGGGCTTCACTTAACTATTAAATGGAGATGCTGTGCTCAAAATAGATACTAGATTCTTTATATGGTGATGTTATAATATAGTCAAATGTGTGGAGATAAAGCTTAAAAAATGGAGTGCTATGAGCTACAAATAGAAAGAATTTAATTAACAGATATTGGGCAGAATTAAATGATAAGTATCAGTAACACTTAAAAGCTAAGTATCAGTCAGAATTAAAAGATAAGTATCAGTCACACTTAAATGGAATAGTTAATTAACATAATTAAATGATATGAAGTAGGAATAATTCCAATTAAGCGATTTAATTGGAATTTTTTTAATTTAATCGCGAAGATAGCGATTATTCCTGCATGATACAATTTGAATAGAGTTCAACACTGAGCCTTGCAGTGCCGGCACCACTCTTGCCGTGAATGAATAAATAATTAATTCACGAGGCTAAAACTAAGGAACAACAATGCCAGCGTGCAGGGAGGAATTCATTAAAATATTTCGTGCATAAAATAATTTTCCCAATTATTAGTGAAAATTACAGATCATTCTTGAATACGATAAAAGTCTCGTTTTGGTTTTTCAATGCAAAAGAATATTTTTAGAAGGCTTCTAAGTTCTTGGGACGCGTGAGAGAAATTAGAAATAACTTACGAGAATTTGATGCAAGATGAAGTGATGGGAATCAAATTAAAATATCAGCCATCGACCATTGGGCTAAAGTAATGGGAAACAAGAAATAGAAGGGATCTGGAATCAGGCTGAGCATCACAGCCTGATGAGTTAAAATAAATTAATGGACTTAGGAAGCGTCAGCTTAAAATTATATTACACGGTTAAAATATATTAAAATTCCCTCAATTGTTAAATAATACTATTAATATAATAGTTTATCAGTCAAATAAATACCAGAGAAGAGCTTGACGCGTCACAACTGAGCGGGCAGCGCAAAAAAATACAGGAGATGAAATCAATCGCGTACTAAACGACGTTGATGTAACACATTACATACTGCTATTGTACTCTAGGGTAATACATAATGAACATGTACACTTGTGTAATACATTTACATAATGGAAACGTACTTCTGAGTAATACATATACATAATGTTATTATACTTCTGAGTAACACATACAGATTATGTATTTCTACCGCTGCGTAATACATATACATAATGGAATCATCGGCCTGTGTAATATACATATTGTTCCATGCAAGTGTCATTATCAAGAGCTGTACTGGAGCGTTCTCATCATTGAAATAACAACTGAATACAATGTAACAGGTGATAGAATGTAAACACAAAAAACTAGACGCTATTGACTGTGAAACACTTTTCATACAAGTCAAACATTCAAGATCTTGGCGGCTGAACAGAAACCAACGAACCTGCCTGTGATAACATCGCCTTAATTCCATTACTTGCAGAGCACGTTACTGTACTATATTTCTTGCAGCCCAACACATTTCACCACAATGGTGCTCACATTTCACCATAATGGTGCTCACATTTCACCACAATGGTGCTCACATTTCACCACAATGGTGCTCACATTTCACCAAAATGGTGCTCACATTTCACCATAATGGTGCTCACATTTCACCACAATGGTACTCACATTTCACCATAATGGTGCTCACATTTCACCACAATGGTTTCAACTACTTATCTATTACACTACTTATTGTACATTATCGTCAAGGGCCTGCCTATCCTAAAGCTCGACATATCGACGGCTATGACGCTCGGGTGAAGCTCGCCGAGTACAGAGGAGGTAAGTGGAATGTTCAATACAGAGCAGCATCAGATTCCATTACGAAATAATGTTATATGTTGAGGATCACTATCCACTGAACAATGAATTACGAGGACGACAAGGCGGACCAGATCATCTTTATGCAGGATAGTGAGGAGGAAGAAGTATAAACGTCATGCGTGGGAGACGTGACGTCAGCGGTGAGAATCTGTAGGGCTGACACCGCGGGCTCTTATATTAGCTCTTGAGAGGAGATACTGAAGAGGGCCGTTATGAGGAGCTGATAAGAGGAGCCATTACTGGCTGCCACTAAGAGGAGCCATTACTGGCTGCCACTAAGAGGACCCCTTAAGCAAGAGGTGGCAGTTGCGACACACTCGCACGGGTTTGTTCATCTTTAGCCGAGGTATTTCGGACTCGAAGCGACTGCACCTGAAATCCAAAATTCATCGTAAATTAATAATGCATCTAATTAGTTCTTGGAAATCGCAACAAAAACAAAATAGATACAGAAAAAAAAAGATAGATTTGCAACCAAAGTAAAAAAGGGTGCGTGTAGCGAATGAGATGGTCAGATGAACAGATGAAGTGCACCGANGCATGGAGGGATGAAGCAGCACTTACTTTGCACAGAAAATGCGGCCACAATTGCGGCAATGGTGCTTGCGTTCGTAAAGTGTGAAGGTGAGATGGCATGCGCTACAGGAGGGGCACTGAGCATCACTAACCCAATGGTCGGTGGACGACGACAGGTTCACGCTGCTGCCACCCAGCCCGCGACCTGTGTTGTGTATATACTTAGCACACAGCAGATAACAAGCCTGTGTTACACCCATTTACTTAATACAGGTGTCATATGCCACCCAGCCCGCGACCTGTGTTGTGTGTTAACTTAGCACACAGAAGATAGCAAGCTTGTATTCCATCCACTTAATACAGGTGTCATATGCTACCCAGCCCTCGACCTGTGTTGTGTTTTGTGTTAACTTAGCACACAGAAGATAACAAGCCTGTGTTACATCCATTTACTTAGCACACAGAAGATAACAAGCCTGTGTTACATCCATTTACTTAGCACACAGAAGATAACAAGCCTGTGTTACATATATTTACTTAGCACACAGAAGATAACAAGCTTGTATTCCATCCATTTACTTAATACAGGTGTCATATGCCACCCAGCCCGCGACCTGTGTTGTGTTTTGTTTACTTAGCACATAGAAGATAGCAAGCTTGTATTCCATTCACTTACTTAATAAGTGTCATAGAAAGCCTGTATTTACGGTATTCACCAATTATTCAGCACACCGAACATACAAAGCCTGCATTTATGTTCTTCTGGAAATTATTCAGCACAGGGCACATACAAAGCTTTTAATAACGTTAATTAGGAGCTTACTCAGCCAAGGAAGGTAGACATCTGTATTTTTTTCATTCATTTAATCAATACAGATATTATAGAGGCAGATATATTAACGTTATTCATGAAATTACTCAGCACAGAGAACCAAGACCACGTAGACCGCGACTTGTGTTTGTGATCTCAACTCATTTACTCAGCACACAGACAACACATATACATCCTTTATTCATGTTATTAAGCGATTCAATGAGCGCTAACAACATAACGAGCCACTACATCAAAACATATACTTCCACATTACCGTAAACACCTCAGAGATAAGAAAGATACATTCAATACTGGTTCGGTACATCCGTCCATATTCGACAAATCTAAAGATCATAGTTTGTATTAGCAATGATACGAATTATAACAAATGATTCTAAGGTCAGTGCATGGAAGATTGTAAATTATGTCAATAACCTGACAGTTCATTGCTGCTTCAAGCAAACTTAAAAATAATTATGATAATAATAGATTTTGTATGAAATTTAGCCGAACGTGCTATGAATTAATTATTCGAATTAATTCATAATTCCACGAGCCTCAGGCTCGAGGAATTGTAATCAAGCTGAACTGCCCGTTATCTCCATTAAATCACGTTTACTTGCAGCATTTTCAGCATGCATGTCACACCTGCAATATTTACCTTAAAAGTAAGGGATATGTGATGAAGAATGCTATGAGAAATGATGGTAAAGAGCAGCGATCTAATTTCGACTTACGAACAAAAAAGAACAATAAAAAGCCTTAAATATAACAATAATGACAACAAGACGTGAGTAGGAATATCATAGAGGAATAGAGTGCCCCACTGATGATGTCTCAACTAAGCGGGGGCAGGCATAGCACACACTGAAAAAAAAGTAGGTGACATTGTCTAAATATTGACACTTCTATGCACGTATCCCTGATACTTCCTTTAGGCGGGCCAAACTCGGTCAGAGATACCACCACACGGGCAAAAATTTGCATTATCATTTGGACAAAGCATCACACATTTCTTTGATTGCCTCTAGCAACCTGGGGCCATACTTTCAAAACTCGCTTAGTGAACGTAAATACTTACGCATTATTTTCTTGTCTACGATTGGTGGATTTTGCTTGAAAGGCCGTCAATGATTGGCTGATGAACTTACGATCTCTTAACTTTTTTCGAAAGTATCGGCCCTGACCTATAGGCAAGTATAGGCAAGTATCCGCCCTGAGAAAGTATAGGCCCTGACCTATAGGCAAGTACACTTGCCTATAGGCAAGTATAGGCCCTGAGAAAGTATAAGCCCTGACCTATAGGCAAGTACACTTGCCTATAGGCAAGCATAGGCCCTGAAAAAGTATAGGTCCTGACCTGGAGCAGCGCGGGTCGCCGCCCCCGCCCCCCGGGCCTCGACCACGCCCCACGAGAAGACCCTGCCACGGGCGTCCCCTACAAGCACGCTGCGGTGGTCTCTGCACGACACAACACTCACAACAATTAGCGAGTCATATTGTCCATATGGCGACGCACTTTCTGCTGCACCATTGATCCGCCTTTTTGCCGGAAAAAACTAGGGAAAGACGTGCATCGGAAAATGCAGCGCTATCAAGACAAAGTTCCACTTATTTCTGAGTGTAGACAGGACAAATACATTAGCTCAACATATCTGCACTATAAAGAGAAGCACATCCTTCTGCACGTGGAACAAATTATTATACGGGGCATTAGTTCAATTATACGGGGCATTAGTTCAATTATACGGGGCATTAGTTCAATTATAAGGGGATTAGTTCAGTTATACGGAGCATTAGTTAGATTATACGGGACATTAGTTCAATTATATGGGGCACTAGTTCAGTCATACCAAGCATTAGTTCAATTAAACGGGGCATATGTTCAATTATGGAGCAGCGTTAAAATATAATCTGAGTGTAGCTGGGGACATGAACATAGCAAGTGACGGAGGTTGAGGCAGGTGATGGCACGTAAGGACAGGTTGAGGCAGGTGATGGCACGTAAGGATGGGTTGTGGCAGGTGATGGCACGTAAGGACAGGTTGAGGCAGGTGATGGCACGTAAGGATAGGTTGNGGTGATGGCATGTGAGGGAAGGTTGAGGCAGGGGATGGCATGTGAGGGAAGGTTGAGGCAGGGGATGGCATGTGAGGGAAGGTTGAGGCAGGGGATGGCATGTGAGGGAAGGTTGAGGCAGGTGATGGCATGTGAGGGAAGGTTGAGGCAGGGGATGGCATGTAAGGATAGGTTGAGGCAGGTGATGGCACGTAAGGACAAGGTGAGGCAGGGTGAGGTATGATGAGGCAGGGTGAGGTAGGATGAGGCAGGGTGAGGTAGGATGAGGCAGGGTGAGGCAGGGTGAGGCAGGACAGCACCTGGCGACGGTGATGGCGGTGACGGAGGCAGGCTCAGCGTTGTCGCTGCGGTCGTAGGCCGTGTGCGCCGTCAGCTGCCGCCGGAACACGAGCTGGCACGTCCACCGCATGCCTGCACACACACCAGCTCAGTCAACAACAAAACATATGTCATATTACTTGACTTGCCTACACCCATGACCCATTTACACCCGCCGTGACCCATTTATATCCGCCGTGACCCATTTACATCCGGCATGACTCATTTACATCCGCCATGACTCATTTACATCCGCCATGACCCACCTATATATGCTAAGAACAGCTCACACCCACCATGGTGACAGGCCCTGCATCGGTCTTAGCATGCTATTTTAATTCGATCACAAGTTCCCAAGTATCCCTGTTCTTCGCCCAACACGAGAACTTACTGAATATCATAAAATAGGTAAATGCGGTCTGCTTTGTACTCAATTATGATAAAAACTGATGCTGGACTGATTCAACGCGAATGATATACACAATTCCTTCGAAATAAAGAGGATTTCCAACGACATTCTCTTTCTCGAAAGAGCTTACCAAAGTTTGCATAGTGAAAGGACCGTTCCCAGCATAAGGGGACACGAAAATTAGAATTCAGAGAAAATACCTCTAAGCGACACTTTATAAACCCATAAGAACATATTATAAGATGAATGTCAAAAACATTACAAAATGTCTATAGATAAATAGTGCGAGGGTGACTAACCCGGCATGAGGACCTCACTCCTGCCAGGGGGGGAGAGCAGGGCTTCCTGACTTTGGGCCTCCCGCACCTCCGCCTCGGTGATCACCTCGAACGCGTCGCTGGGGGCGCAGCTTTGACCCAAACCTGGAAAAGACGTCGTTTATTCTTCGGTAGAAAAAAACGAAAATAGGCAAGAAATAAGTAGGCAACTGAAAGGAAAAGGCATGCCTTTTAACTCGATGGAAATGCAATAAATTAACGCTCATCATAGCACTGGTTAATCGAACTTACCGCTCACTGAGCCCCATTGTGAGGAGATAAGAACGCTTTTTAATTTATTCCAATGAGGCTCATCTGGTTAATGAGACGAGCCAGTGGTTATTAGATCACAATGCTTGCACATTGATGTGGTCCGCATAATTGGAGTACAAAAATTCCAATACTAAGTAGAAATTAATTACTTTATGTATTCCTTGTCGTAGATATTTGTTTTTACTTTAATGAGTGTTGCTGATATAAATGTTTATTTGGACACAAGGTTTTAAGAGAACATTAGTGGATACCGCAGAGGGTTCGCATCTATGTGGATCTGTACAACTACATCCATAGTCGGTAGGACTTAAGGAGGCCTGGCTTGCCATGTCTACAGCTGGCACGACTCAGGGGAGCCTAGATTTACTAGCGGCATCCATCGTGGCCTGGGACTGCTACGTTCGAAATAAATATCAAGGATACTATTGAGTTGGCATGACTGAAGCCCCAGAGGTGGCTCACCAGCTGCCGTGTCTGCCAGGCTGGTCTCGCTCTTGCTGCCCTGCAGGCGCTTGGGCGGCGCCCCTGCGCTGCCGGCGTGCTGCTGCTGCTGCTGCTGCTCCACGACGCTCACCGCGCGGCACACAGCTGTAATGTATACTCATGAGTAACACCTTCGAGTACACATTTGTACAGATATTTCATATCGAATTTGTTATTCCCGACACTGTATCTAAGGCGGACAGATTATGTCACTGACCGAGGGGGGGCTGCAGCCTGGGGGAGGAGGAGGGGGTGTCCACGCTGCCCCCCGTCGTGTCGAAGCTTGGCTGGCTGCTTGAGGACGCCAGGGCTTCTTGTCTGCTTATACAATATAATAATTGCAATCAATTAATTATTAATGATAATTATAATAATGAGTATGTATGCACAATAATCGGGTCTTACAAGGGCAAAATATCTAGAACAGAGTTTCTACATCACATACCGTGCTGTCTAAGACATGATATGGGCTCTGGATAAGAGTGAGAACCACATAAATAGCAAGAAAAGTTAGTAGGTTTGGAAATATAACATCAAAATATTTCTAAATAATGATAGTTAAACTCTATTACCACTACACTTGTACTGTTCTGATTCTTTGAAGATAAGACATGAGCACAAATTGAAAAATACACGGCGTCTCCTAATTAATGTGTGATGTCAGTCTCACCATCACTAATTAGAACCTCTGATACCAGGCACAGATAATGTGCATATATCAGTTGACATTTTATGGGCTATGATCAGCAATTTCTTGCAGTCGCTGACGTTCTTTGCATGTATTTAAGCTGAGTTGGCTAGTGTTCAGAGTTGCTGTTGCTGATAAATGTATTATTAAAAAAGTACCTAGTTAAAAAAAGTCCGTATTTCTGTCAGCCAATCACCAATCACTGACGGCTACCCAAGTTCAACCCACTAATCAGAGATGAGAAATTGCCGACTAAATGTACTTTTACCGCTACGCGTACTTAGACCGCAATAAGTTCTTAATCAAGTTTGGATGGTACGACATAAGTTGACAATATTATGTATGTCTTATTGAACAGTTTTATCAAATGTATTAGAGTAAACATGACACCTGTGTAACGTGGTGACACGGGCGTCCCTAGAAGGAGACAACTGTCTTCCCTCGGACGAGACTCCGTCAGTTGTGGTGGCCACATCGAGAGCCTCCTGCTGGTGGTGCGGCTCGTTAGGCCCGCCTGACGTCAGGCTCAGGGAGGCTCCCGCGTCAGTTTTTGCTGGCTCAACGGCTTCCTCGCTGAGACCTGCTAACTTGAGGTCAGTTTCTTGGGTGCCTGATGTCGGGCTGGCGTCAGCAGACTTAGGTCCCTGACGCGCGTCCTCCACGAGGCTGTCGTCCTCGTCGGATAAGCTGCTAACGCTCACGCTTTTGTGGAAGAAGCTTCCTGCAAAAATTATTTGTTGCTTTTATTATTATATTATTATTATTCACGCAATTGAAATTCAATCAAGTCACCAAGAAAGAATTAAAAGACTAAAATCTAAGTATTAAATAAAATTGCACAAGGATCGGTACTACACTTAAATCTACCAGAAGATAATCCGTAACTTTACGAAACAAATATTTAAGTCATAGATTATTTATACTTATTTCAGTCCCGCATCAATCAGAGATTTGAAGTAGAGAAAGAGTAAAATGGTTAAGTCAAACAAGTTCATCGCATTAAAAAAATATGAATACCTACAGTCTAAGCAAGGTACCTACTAAGAAAGAAACGAATACAAATAATGATCAATCAGTCACTGTGAAAGCAAGCAATATCAACATCAGTCAAGAAAGGTTCACAATAAGAAGATAAATATGCCTTCAACCACGAGGTCGAAAGGTTCCCAATAAGAAGATGAAAACCTATGCCTTCAGCCACGAAGTCTGCCTCAAGAAGGAAAGAAATCTCACCGCCAGAGAACTGTCCATCGTCTCTGTGGGGCTGAGAGGACGGCCTTCGCTGCTGTTGGTCAGCTCGGCAGCTGTCACGACGGCTGTCACGGCAGCTGTCACGGCGGCTGTCACGGCGATTGTCACGGCAACTGTCACGACGGCTGTCAAGCGGATGACTGAAGTCAGGCGATCCCTCCGGCACCGTAAGTTCTTCAGGGGCGTGTGTTCTCTTGTTGGCTTTGCTGCTGCTGTTGTTGCTGCTGACGCTGGTGTTGTTGCTGAGGGGGTCAGAGGAGCTGTTGTCGCTGTCGTCCTCGATGGGCGTCTGTACGTACTCCACGCCCCACATCTGCTCGAGCAACATGATGGTCTGAACACCCTTTATAAATGTCAAGCTTTACCACAAAAATAATGATACCTATATCAAGTAAAGAAAACAAGAAGTGGAACAAAATTGAAACACTGAAGGCAATAAAAATGATCTCAATTGTGGATGAGCATTGAATTATTTTTGTTTCAACTGTGACTGATTATTACATTCAGAATCTGCCAAAGGCAAAAGAGAGACACTTGGATTAACATCCGAAATTGAATAATTCAGTTCTGAAAACTAAAACCTCATCGCGATTTTCTGCCTCTGATAGAAGCATCACGCACGGTTTAGGAAGACAGTTCATGGATTAGCAAGACAATTCATCTGCCCTGCGCCACAGAAAAAAAATTCGTTCACTTTCGCATCATTATTAGCGTCACTATTTGGAGGCCTGTATATTGCTTCCAACGGAAGACAATTCATGGCTTAGGAAGACAATTCATGGTTTAGGAAGACAATTCATAGATTAGGAAGACAATTCATGGTTTAGGAAGACTATTCATGGTTTAGGAAGACAATTCGTGGCTTAGGAAGACAATTCATGGCTTAGGAAGACAATTCATGGCTTAGGAAGACAATTCATGGCTTAGGAAGACAATGGATTAGGAAGACAATTCAAGGATTAGGAAGACAATTCATGTTAGCCCGGAAGCAAGCAACTGACGACTGTAGCCACGTACCCTGACGACGCCGTCAGAGGAGCCTGTAAGGATGAGGTTGTCCTGGTCCCACTCGTAGGCGGTGGTGAAGGCGAGGCACAGCACCTGCTGCAGGGCTGAGCGAGCCCCCAGCGCCGTGTTCACGCTCGCTATGGCCACGCCGTTGATGCTCCACACGTGCAGCCACGTGCCTCCACACGTGCCTATGTCGCCCTGCCATCCAAGTGCGCGTGTTAAATCAGTAACTTATACAGTAAAAATAAATGGTATTAAAATAGAATTTTAATTCCATAATGTTCTTAAAAAAGTATTTAGAATAAAATTGATGAAGACTGAAATGATTAACAGTGTCAAAAATGACAATACCAACATTGTTTTCGTAGGAAGTATATGTAGAAAGAAAAAATAACGACGGCTCAACCGACAATAAATTATGACATTTAGCAGGATAGTGAAATTTGAACCACTGACAGCACACATCCAAAATTTGAGCCACTGACAGCAGACACCCAAAATTTGAACCACTGACATCACACACCCAAAATTTGAGCCACTGACATCAGACACCCAAAATTTGAGCCACTGACATCATACACCCAAAATTTGAACCACTGACATCATACACCCAAAATTTCAAGCCAGTAAAGTATACCGAAATTTTACCCAAAGAGAGCACGCATAAAACTAACGGTGCTGTCGCTGATGGCGACGGCGGCGAGGGGGGCATGATGCCCTGTGAGTTGCCTGACGAAGGTGAGGCGGGCCAGGTCCCAGATGATGGCGGTCTTGTCCCGAGACCCCGACACGAGCAGCCCGAAGGCGGTGCTGGCGGCGACGCACGTCACGGCATCGCTGTGGCCGTACAGGCTGCACTTGTGCACCACCTGGCGCCTGTACATGTCGTACACGCGCACCACCTGCGTACAGAGGGAGTGATGACACAGCACGGCACGGCACTGCACTGCACAGCACAGCACAGTACAGCACAGCACAGCACAACACAGCACGGCACAGCACAGCACAGCACAGCACATTGTCGTACACGTGCACCACCTGCGTACAGTGGGAGTGATGAACACGCACCACCTGCCGCCTGTACATGTCGTACACGTGCACCACCTGCGTACAGAGGGAGTGATGAACACGCACCACCTGGCGCCTGCACGGCTTGGTACGGCACAGCACGGCACCACAGGGCACAATACAGCACACAGCACTGCACCACAGGAGACAAAACAACACACAGCACAGCACAGCACGGCACGGCACAACACAGCACAGCACAATACAGGACAGCACAGCACAGCACGCTACTCACAGTGTCAGTAGAGGCAGTGATGATGGTGCGGGCATTGGGGCAGACGGCTGCCAGGACCTCGCCCGTGTGGCCGCTGTCTCCCTCCCACACCAGGAGGGCCTTCTCCGACTCGTACGGCCCCACGCGCAGGCTGCACACAAATGCACCGCGTTATAGTACACAGCATTGACAGCAATACACAGCATTTTAGCACAACACAGCATTACAGTGCACAGCATTGACAGCAATACACAGCATTATAGCGCACAGCAATAAAGCATTATAGTGCACAGCAATACACAGCATTATAGGGCACAGCAACACAGCATTACAGTGCACAGCAACACAGCATTACAGTGCACAGCAATACACAGCATTATAGCGCACAGCAATACACAGCATTATAGCGCACAGCAATACACAGCATTATAGCGCACTGCAATACACAGCATTACAGTGCACAGCAACACAGCATTATAGTGCACAGCAATACACAGCATTACAGTGCACAGCAATACACACCAGTTGAACCTTCTCCGGCTGCACAGCAAATTAGACTTTAACGCAGCATTTTAATTCAAAGGATGCTGAGCTTCAGCACACTGCATGTATGCGTACAGAATCATAGATGAAATATCTCAACTTGTGAGAAGAGAACTGGTAGAACCTGAATCAAAACATTATATAATTCATAGATAAAATGATAGAGATAACATAGAGATAACACGATACAGGTAACATGAAACAGATAACATTGTCATGAAATTGCTGTTATAGCATCCAAATGTACATAGTATTCCGTACTATAGTTCCTACGAGTAAGTTACTTCGCTCTAGAACTAGTGACCATTGTTGGCATTGACTCGGCTCTTGTACGTTCAAGACATAGGTAGAACTAATGTTCTCCTTGTAATTACCCTGTAAATAGTTTTTTATGTATAAGACCTTCACATATCAATATATTCCCTTTACGTTACCGTTTTTCCTGTTTTATAGTAGTGTTATTTCGTTCCAGGATTTTGCGTTCTTGTTTAATAAAGCACATAATGAGTCACATCGGCTTTTGCTTACGACAAACATGATGCAGATAACATGATACAGATAACATGACAGAGGTAACATGATACAGGTAACATGATACAGATAACATGATACAGATAACATGATACAGGTAACATGATACAGAATAAGTCACTTAGTGACCTATACTAGTCATGTTGTGAGAGTTTTGAATCAAGAGAATGGCATGGGGAAACAAGTATTATGATACATGATACTGAAATAACTTTAATAAAAAAATTGTGTCGTGATTTCTAATTCCACAGATTCGTCAAACTTTAATTAACAGGTAACATGATACAGGTAACATGGTACAATATAAGTAATTTATTGACCTGTAGTCAGCGAAGCCCCATGCCAGGTACCGCTGGTAGGAGGGCGGTATGAGGACCTTGTTCTGCTCTACGGCGAGCACGCCCTTGTCCACGCTCATGATCTGCCCCACGACGCCCTTAACCTCCTTCAGGGGCGCCAGCGCCGGCCGCAGCAGCTCCAGGTTCTTGTAGAATACCTGCACGCAAAACAGAACTTGAGCACTCAAGACCAAAACTTGGGCATTCTAGACCAGAACTTGAGCATTCTAGACCAGAACTTGAGCATTTAGGGCCAGAACTTAAGCATTCTAGACCAGAACTTGAGCATTCTAGACCAGAACTTGAGCATTCAAGACCAGAACTTGAGCATTCAAGACCAGAACTCTGTCTCTTATACACATCTAGATGTGTATAAGAGACAGTTCTAGACCAGAACTTGAGCATTTAGGGCCAGAACTTAAGCATTCTAGACCAGAACTTGAGCATTTAGGACCAGAACTTAAGCATTCTTGACCAGAACTTGAGCATTCTAGACCAGAACTTGGGCAGTTAAGACCAGAACTTGAGCATTCTAGACCAGAACTTGAGCATTTAGGGCCAGAACTTGAGCATTTAGGGCCAGAATTTAAGCATTCTAGACCAGAACTTGAGCATTTAGGGCCAGAACTTAAGCATTCTAGACCAGAACTTGAGCATTTAGGGCCAGAACTTAAGCATTCTAGACCAGAACTTGATCATTCTAGACCAGAACTTGAGCATTCTAGACCAGAACTTGAGCATTTAGGGCCAGAATTTAAGCATTCTAGACCAGAACTTAAGCATTTAGGGCCAGAACTTAAGCATTCTAGACCAGAACTTGAGCATTTAGGGCCAGAACTTAAGCATTCTAGACCAGAACTTGAGCATTCAAGACCAGAACTTAAGCATTCTTGACCAGAACTTGAGCATTCTAGACCAGAACTTGAGCATTCAAGACCAGAACTTGAGCATTC